GAGAGCAAGGTCGTGATTGAATGAGATAGATATGTGTTGAGTGCCTAGTAGGTCGGCCAAGTGCACCATGCGAACGAATTTAAGCCATGGTGAAGACTTCATCCTGTTTTCTCATTCCCTCAAACATTCATTACAGTTCATAATTTTCGTAATATTTGGTTTTATATGGGTCCATGTGGCTTCTATAAGTTAGCTGACCAAACTAGTTGTACTGATCTTCAATATGAGCCACTACCTGATAAATTAGCCTTTGTTTTGATCAAGTATTTTATAAACGTCATAATTTCTGCAAACAAGCTTCTTGCAGATTGGATGTTGTGGTTTAATAAAGTGTAAGACTATGACATGAACTGCTTCAGAATGCATCCGATTCCCAGACTTATTTTCAGAATGCTACTCATCTTTCTTACATCACTTATTTCTCACGGAATAGCTCAAATTCTCAAATTAGATCCTGGTAGTGTACAAGGTTTTGAGTACAGAACAAATAGTGGAGATATAGCTGAAATATATCTAAACATACCATACGCTGCACCTCCTATTGGTGATTTGAGATTTGAGGTAATGATCGGATTTTTTGGAGTTTTAACGCATGCTTACAGCATTGCTTCAGAAGCCGTCTCCACCAATTCCATGGGATGCGGTTCGTAATGGTACGGCTTTTGGAGCCACTTGTCATCCTCATGCTTATCAAGCTGCGCTACAACCTCAGCCCAACGAAGACTGCTTGACGCTTAATATCATTCGTCCAAAGAAGAGAGTAGGTTTTGAGATAAAAGCTCATAAATCACCTTTCATTTCAATTCTAACCTTTGATTAACCATTGCTATATACTTGTCGATAATAATTTGCTCGAGATAACCCTTTCAGGCCCCAGAAGGAGGTTACCCCATCCTTGTATGGGTGCATGGTGGTGGCTATGAGATTGGCTCAGCAAGCCTTTACGGTTATAAAGGATTTGCAGATATATACATACCGCACGACCTTATTGTTGTCACCATACAGTATCGCGTTGGCGTATACGGTAAGGCTAATCTATCATCAGCACATATATGGAAAGAGAGGAGTTACAATAGCGAGCTAGAAATGAGCTTTACTGTTTAAGGTTTCTTTTCAACTGGTGACTCGCGTATTCCTGGTAACCTTGGGCTGTTTGATATGGCAGCAGCATTTAAGGTTGGAACACTGTATTCTCAGTCATTTAAAACGGAGCAAACTATTTTAGTTCATTTACGACAATGCCCAACACTTTGGTGGTGATCGCTCACGGATTACCGCTTGGGGTTTGAGTGCGGGTGGTAGTGCTGTTGGCCAACTTGCTCTTAGCCCTATCTCAAGAGGTAAAAATTCTACTTCATAGTTTGAATTCTCTTAGGTGTCTATATTATACGGAAAGGTCATAACTTCAGATTATATTGCGGGATCAATTGAGATGTCCGGTTCGCCATGGGCCTATTGGGCATTGGGGTCGACGGTAGCAAACGAATCACTCAAACTCGCTGAGGTAAAGTTAAGCTAGGTTTCGCATAGAAGTTTATGGCTCTATCCTAATTCTTGGCCGAAGTCGTACGTTTACCTTAAAATCATTGAAGGACCTGGGCTGCAATGGTGATAGTCTCAAGGCTTGCATGAAGCTAAAAAACGTCCAAGAAATCTATAACGCTGTTCAAAATGTGGTAAGTACGCATCTCAACCGTTTAACAACGTATTTCCTGTACTATCGCAATTTCATGGCTACACGAAAGATTCCCTTGATTGTATCAAATGGGGACCAGTCATTGACGGAGATTCTCTGCAACACCCAGATGAGATGTTGGCCGCTGCTCCACCGAAACCTGCAATAGTCGGGGTCTCGGATAAGGATGCGTCTTTCTTCAGTAAGTACTGCATTTGTACATTTGAGACTATTTGGGATATGCGCCTTTTTTTCATTTGAAATAGCTAAGGTAACTCATTCTTCACATTATCGTATTATTGAAAAATGACAAAAAACAGTGTTGTAAACTCCTCCTGTGTCAAACTAGCTGGTACTTCTCAAATCTCTCTTTTAAA